AGAAAGTTTTCTAAAATAAGCTCACAATGCACAATTGTAATTGTTAAACCAACGTGTTTAAAGGAAGTAAAGATTTTTCGCATTTTTGTAAACCTTTTATGTATACAAGAGCATCCCAATGTGTCAATCATCTTCACTTTCCAAATCAGTTTAAATAACTCTACTTTAAGTACGTACCTTAGTTGGTGAGAAAAACATATTAGCTACTACCTTATGAAATGCCATTCGTACTGTAATAGCGGCAAAATATAGGAGCGCGAGACATGTTTTTGACACAGAGTATACGTTTTTTGAATTTCATGTGCTAATTCAAAATAAGAGTAAAGTTGCCATGAATGTAGAAATAAAATTAAATAGTTCAAGTGAAAAAGGAGTATTGTTTATATAAGCGTTCTGTGGGATATAAGCTTGAAATTTAACTTTTATTATTCTTTAATAATTCCTTCGTATTATTGAAATTTCATACAACTTCACTTGTTCAACTTCAATTTCATTTTTTTGCATTTTTTTTTTGGCGGCGGCCATGCTCCCTACTTTGCAGCAGTCATTCATTCATTCATTCATGCATTCACCTTGTACTTGTTTCAACTTGGTGTGAGTGGACTAAAATCATCCTTTGATATAGTTTTATAGTATTTTTCCTGTAGACTGAAATCTGCTTATCAATGTTAGCAGAAAACGTTTGCCTCTTTCCCTTCCCCATAACACTCCGGTAATATACCAGCCTATTATGGACGGCGTATTATTATGCTTAATTCAATTGCAGTTTAAAATGATTGAAAAACGCTTTCTGATATTCGAAATTAATCTTGAATTTATAAGGAATTACATCCAGCTAGGAATAAAGTAAATGATTGTTCAAACATAGCAGTAATTGTATGTAAGATTTGCTTTCTTTTAAAAAGGTTGACAACACAATATTTTAGTATTTATGTCTTTAATTTTAGCTATTGGTTTGGTACCAGACAGTTACCCGGCTAATATGCAGCCAGGATGGGGACATTACTCCATTGGATATCATGCGCACGATGGCTGGTAGGACATACAGATGTTTTCACAATTTAGTGATGACAAGATGTATTGATAGATTTTATAAAGGAATGTTCCTTTTGCTGCAGTTAGGCACGATAATACTCGTTTTAAAAGTTATTGTTTTACTAAAAGAAACCAAAAGCTGTTCTTATGGTACAAAATGCATTCAAAGATACAAAGATATAGCATACAATAATACTCACGAATGCAATAACTTATCAATAACAATCCATTATATGTATTAGTATAAATAAAACACATTGAAAACGGCAAAGGGAAATATTAGCTAGATATGTCTTTGAGAAATATTATTACATTGTATTGGCACACATCTCAAGAACAAATTTATTTTAACTTATCAAACTATTAATGGTTTTTTGGGGAGGCTATGCCGACCCAATGTTAATAACTGTCTGTCAAATCTTACTGCCGCGGTAATCAGGTCAAAAAATAGTACCTTGATTTTTTCTAAGCTGACTCATCACTCATCACAGACATTTACAATATGAAAATATTTTCATTCTTTAATTTCATATCTGCAATTTGTAAAGATAATAATTCTCTGAAAAAGTCTTGATTTTTGTTTAAATCACTACTCCGTGACGTCATACTGCCGCGGTAATCAGGTCAAAAAATAGTACCTTGATTTTTTCTAAGCTGACTCATCACTCATCACAGACATTTACAATATGAAAATATTTTCATTCTTTAATTTCATATCTGCAATTTGTAAAGATAATAATTCTCTGAAAAAGTCTTGATTTTTGTTTAAATCACTACTCCGTGACGTCATACTGCCGCGGTAATCAGGTTTAGGCATACATACGTACGTCTGTAATAAATAGTTCTGGTATGAAAACCCTTCAAAATAATAACTTTATCAATATTTTTTTAACAAAAAGCATAAATGAAAATTTATAAGTAAATGCTTTAATTCAGTGGCAAATATTCTTTATTATTTTTGATAACAATTTTCCAATTACTACGCAGCGACCAACTGTTTATGACGGGTCATTAACTAGAACGTTGCAACACCGTATTCTCAATATCATGCATGTTCTTTTGTTGTTATAAACTATTAATAGTCCTTAATATTTTTTAAAGACAAATAATTGTAAACTGTCGCTTACATCAGAGACATGGATCATGCTTGCGTGATAACTAAGGAAAACTAACTTATTTGTACACCCCAGGAGGCTGTACGCGGAAAACGCTCATAAACCGCTAAATCATATAGCTGTTTAGTAAATATTTTGCATACATTTAACTAAAAATTCACTGATGGTGATGAACATATAGTTTGAAAACATTATATTCTTTAACCATTATCGCCGAAAAAAAACTATTTAACTACAAAACCCCTAAGGACCTCCGACAAAATTCCAGCACAATATTACATTTTACATTAGCAAAATAAAAAAAGCAATACTTATATTTTCATCTTACATAATTCATTAATCAAACTTTTAACATTAAAGTATCTTTGGCAATTGACAGATCCCTACTCTGATCTTTTATTTGTACAGGAATAAATTTAAATATGTGCTCTTTTGTTTAGGAATATTTTGTAGTGAAAGTCTTATATATTCACTAATCTCATAATTAGAATTAGACAGGTCAGGAATTTATACAAACAGTTGTTTAGTTAACTATGCTCATTTTAATCCCAATAGAAACATTCAAATATTTGTGGTAAAAAACATGACCAAAGTACCTAGTAGTCGTTTACCCGGTGGTGATCCCATTAAACTGATTATAGATTCGAATTGATTAGAAAACACAAATAGAAACATGTGTTTCCGTACAACAAAATCGGAAGTAAAGTGAACAGTTAATTGACAGAAATATGTGGTCAAATATGTTTTAACAAGGAAATAATTATTTCAGAGAAAGACGCAAAGATCAGTATGACCCCGTATTGTGTAATTAGAAAGTTTATTCAATTCTAGGGCATACATCATAATTTGATAGTCCATGTGTAATAAAATTCAAATTTTCAATACAGATTATGAGATACATAAAAAATATTAAAGAATAAGAAGCTTTAATTAAAAAACAAAAACAAAAAAAACAAAAAACAAAAAAAAACCGCATACATATACAAATTACTTACAGTCGAGCATCGGGAAGTCATTAACATATCTTACGAAACTTTAATTTGAAACCGATATTTGCGCGCGCTGAAGTGATTAATGTTTATTTGAAAAATAAAAAAAAGAACTTTTATGGTTGTGTTCTAAAAATAATGGGCGGCATAAGAGGAATTTCTTATTCATTTTACAACACTTGAAAAATTACTACAGAAAATGTGTTGTTGTTTTGTTTTCAACAAAAGTGTGTGTGTTTTAAGTTTATTTATACTCGGCGCCGGAATAACCATATGTCCGAGATTATAGCATCTGGGACGTCTTTTTCAAGCAGATTCTTCCTGGAAGCCCATTCTTCGTTCTTTGGTGGTAAAGGAGACGACAATACCGTCAAGGCATCAACTTTCTGACTGACGACAACAAAAACGGCATCTATTAGCGCCAAACCTCCAGAGTAAGTCACGACAGGTCAACCAATCACCTCTGGTACTTATGATGACTTGACTATGACCTTCCGTGTGCCTTCTCCGCGACGTGCACGCCTCTGGAGGTATTTGGAGAAGTTTCAACAAAAACTTCCAAAACACGCCATTTATAACACCATTCATAGCACTGACGGCTTCGATGTTCTCATCTATTTGCGGGAAATGGTCGACAGGGAAAACCCTACGTAATAACCGCACACCCTGTTAACAACAGATTTTCCGCAGTATATATTTCAAGCTAGTGAGGTTTAAAAATACACGTAGAATCTATCGATTAACTACCATAAGTTGGTTGAGTGTTGGCGGTAAAAAAAGAAGATATAACTTCCTGATCAATTTTCACTTAGGTTGATTCAGTTTTGAATAAGCTTTGCAGAGATGTATTTTTTTCAAGAAATATTTAGCTTTAATATTATCCGACGCCGTCAGTAATGAAATGGGATTAATTTTCTGAAACGTGATTTTATTCGAGATTTGCTTCTGGAGAAGACAACCTTCTGTCCGTAGAGCATGAATATTAATACTCATCACAAGACAGTATCTTATTGATCTCAATTATGGTACATCTAAACGTGTATAATTTTTATGTTCAATAAAAATGTTGCATCACTTGCAGTTGTTATTATCATTCAATAATATTAAAATGACATAAAGTATTTATGATGAACAGTCCTAGAATATTTTGATAAGGAACCGTCAGTTGTAAAATGTTATTGTTATCTGATAATGAACAGTCGTCATACTTGCTGGTATGTCATTTATTATTGACAGTTTAGGTTTTTCAAAATTTGCATGATAAACAGTCCGAATGTAGACCTCAATTAAATGTTCTGGAATATTAACAAAATGAATAGTCAACCACATTAACCATATATATGAATGGTTGAACACAACAGTAAGGATAAATAGCGCAATGTGCATATCTTTTTATTTTGGTAGCATATTTTAAGCAAAAAGAAAAGAAACTATAAGTCTGAAACATTCTCTCATAGCCTCCCCATCAGTACATTCAGTGCTTTGATTATCATTTTTCCATACTATTAGATATAATCAGACACAAATATATTATAGCCAGTGTCTATAGTCAAAAGCTATAACTAATTGTTATTCCATATTCAAACTCGTTAATGTGTTAATGTTTGAAACAATTTTAAATATTTATATTGTTAAGTAAATATAATATGATGATTGGCAGTCGCTACGGTTTCCTATATTTGTCGTTACAGTTGAAGTCATCTAAACCATTTACACTTTCATATATTCGTTTAAATTCGTGCATAGTTGTTTTTGAACAGTGTCTGCATCTGTTCAATAAGTCTGAAAACATTGTCATGGGTCATTATTGCCATCTCAATTCTGCAAAGCCGATTATAGACAACATTTATGCTTATAAAAGTTATATTTAAAACGTAACAATGACCATCACTTTTGCTTAGTTAGTGAAGTTTACTCTTTCAGTCTATACCACCAATATGGAAGAGGAATTCAGTTTGGACCAAAATGTCGCGATGGTGACAAGATTGGTTGCTGTATATATCTGGAGCTTTTCCGGTAAATATTACAATTTTATAGTTTGGATATACAGGATATTGAATAAATGTATGTTAAATACCTAGTATATTATTGAACGAGTTGAAACTAATGTAAAAAGTGCGCTAAATTTTGCGTTACACTTAAGGCACTTCGATAAAAATGCATGTTTTCACTGCAAGCCTTTTGTTTTGCGTAATGTGACAAATTGAAAAATATATAATACTTGATTTACTCATTGAATAAATATATTATTCACTCGTCGGAGACTGTCATAAAATTACTTTATTCAATTATTGCAATAAATTTAGAATGGAAAATACATTAATTTAATATCCTCTATGAATTACATTTTGCTTCATGAATTATGTGATAAAGAAACATTTTTCTAATATCATTTTAATACTCGTATATCGAAAATAAAACAGTGAATGAAAACTCAAAGTTTAATTTCAGTTTAACTTTTTCCAATTTGGCAGCTGATATTTTCGTATTGTATAGCAATTACCCTTATGGGATTTTTGGGGGGTTATTTTTTGGGGGAGTGGTATTATTGTTGTTGTTGCTGTTTGATTTTCTGTTGTTGTTGGGGGATCAATAAAACCTATTATTTATAGTCAATCGGATGAATTTTTAAATCATATTTCAAAAGAAGAAATTATTGCAAAAAAGAACTGATTCTCAATATTATCCAAATATTTTATTTAACTGTATTACGATATGACAAATGGTTTAATTAACTATATTTACAGGCGTGGTAAAAATGTTGAGACGGTTGTCAATGCCATTAAGACCAGGAACGGCACAAAGGTAGGGACAAATGCTTTTAAAATTATGTGTTTGTTTAAGTAGAAATTTCATCATATAAAGTTACGTCTAAAATCTCATAAAAATAATTATGTTGAGTTGCATGACTAAAGCTATGCAATTTCACCTTCGTTTGTTCTTTAATCAAAATTCGCATTATCCCGATTCACATTAAAATTAGCCTCTTTAGGAGTAATAAAAATCAAAACAACTTCATTTGTATAGTAAATTAAATGTATAATATGATGTTAATATTTTTTAAGTAAAGGTAAAGAATGCATAAATAAACAAACCTTAAACGACCGCGGTACCAAGTTAAGATAAAGAAGAAATAAACAATTCGAATTCGGATAATACCGTTACATTTATATTTCATCGTTTGTCTTCAGGTTGGAGAGAAGAAACTTAGCACCGGTCCCCTTTTCAATCTATATCCTGCTGTAGGGATGCATTCTCCCGGAGAGAAGGTCAAAGTAATATTCCATACAGGACTGCCTGCATCGATAAAACGATATACTAAAATACATTAAATACGAGGCTGTTGACAACGTTAATGAATGTTTAATGATATTGGATGTTATCTATATCTTGAAAAGTTCAATGAGGGATACCGTTCTAAATATCTTTTAACGAGTTAGATTTTTTTTTCTCGTTGACTTGGACATAAATCTGTCCATTTGCGCAGAATGTGAACAATTTTCTGTTATCTACTGCGTAGTCAAAGAAGTACTCAAATTTACTCTTACGCTAAAGTAAGAAGTAAGGTACACTGTATTTAAACATATTCATGTGAATGTGTTTTCTTATTATACCGAATGAAATATCAATTGTGATAACACTTAATTGGACAAAATTCTTGTTTTACCAGTTCAAAGAACTCAAGAAATAGTCATCAATTGTTATTGATTAAAAAGCATACACAGCTAAAAATAGAATAAATTGCTGATAAAACTGACATTATCATAGGTTAGGTTGTCCCTCCGGCATATCATTAGCACTGATTAATTTCTGTTTAAAGAAGGAATTAAGAACGTATGCTATTTGTTCTTGCTAATAAACACTTTGATTGTCTAAATAATTGAATAGAAATACCGTGGGTTAAAAAACAGTTGTGTCCTTGACAAAAAAAACGAATAAAAAGGATTCTCTGAAACTATTAGTGGCGTAGAAACCTATGTACATTACTTTGAATATGTTCGCAAAATGAATAACTATTTTGGAGACCAGTCATTGCCTATTATTTTAGAGCTGTACGAAAAGCTTTTTAATGAAAATCATATACTCTACATGGTCCTGCTTTCAAAGTTATTGTCACAACAAGAAAAGAATGTCACCGTTAAGCACTTTGCAACTTCATGTAACAAAAGTTGAACACATATTTTATTAATAAGCGTCCAAAGAAAGGTATGGCAAGAATTTGCTTGCACAGTAACGATTCGTTGCTTCGTCGCACAGGACAGGACTTATATCAGACTTGTAAGTGCAAAATGAAGTAAGATTATTACAGGCTAGAGCATTGTCAAGAATAGAAAGGTACCCACAACTCGTGCTTCTTTGGAAGCTATTTTTGCAACTACATGTACTACTACTACTTGTACTCATTTCGAGACTTTTATTTCCTTTCCTTTCGGAGAGTCCAAAGCTTCGCACGTGCATGTTTCTTGCATGTCAGGACAGAGTGTCCTAAGTTTCAACAATCAAGAAAACTTCACTCAGGCAACAGTCAGCCGAAAGAAACTGATAAAAGACAATCTATTTATAAAGATGTTATTTTTCAGCTCATAGAATTGTTTGTAATTTTATCAGTAATTGAAATTGAAACTGATGTTTTATTTTCATAAATTACAAACTGGTGTTTCCAAAGAAGATAATTATGAAGAAGGCCAGGAACAGAAATTTTCGGCATGGGAAGCTTATGTTTGAATCGACTAAACTTCCCTTTTAAGAAGGTTGTATGTGTCCTCTCCCAGGAAAAAATAACACTACATGTTAAATTTTGGCTTCTGTTACATTTTGTAGTACTTTTTGAAATAGAAAAGTGCATATTTTTTACAATTTTTCAGACTTAAGAACATTTAAGCTATCATTTTAAATTCTAGTCGATCTCTAAAAGAAAACACTGGAAATTAAGTGAACGGTAGTGGGAACATTTGGCTGATATACTTGTATGAATGATAGTTCATTATCAGGACTTTGTCACAAGCAGAGGAAGGGGTTTAATTTGGGGGGAAATCACATATTATTTTTGAAAAATGGAGTAAAAAACAAAACATTAATTCGGGTTTAAGGAACCGTTGCAATTACGTATACATTCTGTTTATTGGTATAAGTTTTAGAGGCATCTGATTATATTCTTGACGTAGTATAAATGGTTTAACCAAACCGTTTTTTTTTACAATTTTGTAAATGATGATGTTTCTGATTTAGTTAAGTCTGTCTGTGACAGGTGCCCTTTTCGACTGTTTTTGGTGAATCCTCTTTCAGTGTCTGTGAACAGTTCAGGAAAGAAACGCTTAATCTTAAATCTTAGTGAAAATTTCAAATTTTATAATTTAAAAGTCGCGTCAGAATATTTGTTAATTAAAACCTTAAGAATTATGTTACAGTGTATTACCGTTTGGTTTGAGGTCAGCTGCATTTATGTGGACGATGTCTTGAAAATTTATCTGTCTTCAGTGAATCAGATTTGTTTTGTTTATGATGATGAAGGGGGAGCACACAAACCGTTTAATGTACGCTCAAAGATAATGTTTTTTTTAAATATGCAACTCCAGATTAAAATCTAGAATGGTTTGGTTTATTACGGAAGTAAAAGGATATTGTTTTAGACATTCCTTATTAAAGGTGAGTGAAAAGCTTAGTACAGTGTATTATATTTATACATAAATTTCATTTCCTGTCTGCGGGCGATATGGCTATATGAACTGGTAAAATTATTTCACCGATTCGAGTGTTAGATCATGACTAAAACCTACAAAGAGCCATTGAATGTAGATCTAGTTAAAACTCGGTTATATATGTTTGCAAGTGAGGAGTGATTACAAAGTTTTGGGATAAATCATTTTTCGTTTGACTAATGTTAATTGTATCTGATGTAAGCTCACTAACAATTTATTCTGACGCCAGTTAGCATCCATCTGTCTGCAACTTACACAAATTGTTATCAAACCGCCATTCGCCATAGAAATTGGTAATTACAAGTTCTACTTGGCGATAATCACCGCTATATTGTTTGCCGTTTTAAGTTTTCTCATTTGATACTAGATCGTTTACTAAAGTGGTGTATATAATCAAAATTTTGTATCTATAATTGAAAGCAATAATATGAATTTTGATTTTATAGTATATCGTTATCCATGTTTGAAATGTGTTTTAAATAGCAAATATACATTTATATTAATGGATTCTTAGTCTATGTTGTACGTTTTGAATGAAAAAGTCCGATTTTACTAAGTAGTTATTTTGATATTCTATTGAATAAAATTGACTGGGGGTTAATATGTATTGCCGCGGGCTTCTTAACAAAATCGATGACTTTGTGGAATAGGGAATCCCATTATTCTGAATTTGTTATTTATGTAGGTTTAATACTAAATTTATTGAACGAGTTGAATAAAATCATATTATGCGAGTCTCTGGCGAGCGTAATATTGTTTTATTCAACGAGTTTAATAAATTTAGTATTGAATCTACAAGAATTTAATATTCTAGATATCACATATATAATTAAAAGAACGGTAAACTGTTAACAAGAGTCATTTTTTTATTTCACGCGCCTATAGTGGAACGATTACATAAGCGCGGTTTAATACGTATAGGATATCGACCGAGTACGAGGTCTTTCTGTTTAGGAAAGACCTGGTCACGAATTTCATGTGACACCGAGAGCGCGTAGCGCTCGAGGTGTTTCATGAAATTCGTGACCAGGTCTTTCCTAAACAGAAAGATCGATGTACGAGGCCGATATCCAACTTACACAGTTGTCAGTGCATGTTAGTGTTTGTATATGTGACAGCTGCTGATCAGCTTTTCATATATCCCATAAAGGGGACAATAGCTTCTTTAAGTCTATTTTTACCTTTTTATTTCTACTTTTATTTTATTTTGGTTCTAATTAATTAAGTAATTAACTAAGACCATGAATTTATCTAGGCCAACTCAGATCAGCATCTGTTACACAAACATTTCAACATTTTAAGTTTTATTATTATTATGATACTTGTACATGTTTTAGTTACACCCATATTTTCATGACTGAGTACATATCAGATGCTGCTACTGATATGTGCTCAAGCATCATACTGGAAATTAGGTCAACTATATTTAAATAAAATAAAATTGAATCATTTACTTTAATTTATTTTAAAAATTTAATTTTTTTAAAAATTCTAATCCTTTTTCTGATTTTAGGGTTGTGTACATAAATAGAATTCTTGTATGATGTAATTTTATGTGATGTTTGATTGTAATGTATATTTGCTTTTAATCATTTAATGCTTTCTTAACCATATTTATATGTGCTGATAAATCTTAACTGTTTTACAGAGTCTTTCATAAATGTATCTTCTTAATACTTTTATATATTTTCTTTTATACAGATTGTTTGTTTGAATTGTTATAGGATAATAAGTTTTGTCGGAAAATAGCTTATATAGCTAATGTTTATATGTTTTTATGAAACCGACTTTAAATAAAGATTATCTTATCTTATCTTATCTTATCTTACACACCGTCAAGCTATTGGCTTGAGCAATGGCTGATCCGAAACATTTCATGTAATGCATAAAGATAATTTTTAACACTGCGCATAAACAGGTAAGCTTTTATCAATGTTCTGTTTTTATATAATATATATTTTGCATTTAACTTTGTTTTTTAAAATAAAAATAAAAAGGCTAAATGTGTAATTTGTCAATTAATAAGTAAATGGGTCTGTAATTGAATTAATGTAAAAGAATAAATAATTATGTTGAAAGTATTTCGTATCAGATATTTCAAATTCTAGGACATTTGCTCCCCCCGAACAGTTGCCCTCTCGGACGTTGCCCCCTGTTTTTTTGCTTGTAACCTGTCAGAGGTCATCTCGTTTATATATTTTATGTACTTTATTTTTTTATTTATGGATGCTTATTTTTAAGTTTTCACAAATGTGCGCGAGAGTTTTTGTTAATTGAACCAAAATGGAATTTCGACAATAGGCAATGAATTTCAATTTTTGTAACAAACAATTCAACAATTAAAATTTTTTTTAACATTTTTAATGGCAAATGTCCAACCCTTCCAAAGATATGGGGGAGGCGGGCAAATGCCCGCCACTGCAAAAACGGAGCAAACTCCGAGGGGGCAACTGTCTGAGGGGCAAAAGTCCGATACCCAGCACAGCATGAAACACTTACATAATTATGTATATTGTTGCATGTGTAGTAATGTGTAAGATACATGATCCGAATTATATTTTATGTAGCAGATTATAAAGTGTTCTAGAATAAAAAAGATGAAAATAATTTTTTAAACTAAATCACTTATAACTCTATATTAACATTTCTTTTTCAGTATTTCTTTTAATAATATCTTAATCGTTTTTGTCGATATTTTAACTAATGGGAGATGCGTCCATTGTAGACCAATCCACTTTGAGTACTTGTATCTGCATGTCACTATAAGCAAGGTTTGGATTATATCTTTAACGTTCTTTGTTCTCAAAGGTTTTCAGGGGAAATCAGTTTTGATTTTTCGCAGGTGGAATAGAAAGGCAGGTTAAAGCCTAACTAAAAGAGGGGGAAGGGATGGGTTAACGGGGATTTAACAATCTGATTGATCCTGAGGGTGGGAATGTAATTCGGGACTTTGCTATGAACTGTAGGTAGCTGCGGTTTCCTAGGCAAAGCGTATATCAAATGGACGTTATTTGAATCACAAATGAAACGGACATATATTTGTTATATTTTTTCGATAAAGGGATTTGGTACTATGAATTTTTTATGGATTAGATGATTTAGAATCGTGATATGTATGCGGTGATAACTGTTAAAGTTTCATAGAAATGAACTTAAAGCACTCATTTTTGTTATATTGTGAAATTAATTACAGAAGAAGCGCTTAGATTACTATTACTTTGAAAAATGACGCGATTAGAAAAAAACTTAATGCTATCCATTTATTTCATTCAAAGAATTAATATAGAGATGTTGGAATAATTATAAACATTATCTTATTTAAAAGAATGTATCCAGATTTTGTCAGACAGGAATATTATGACAATCATTTATTTACATTTCATTTTTAATTTTTGATTGCATTTCATGTTTTCTTTGTCTACGCATAGGCAGGTCTATTTTTTCACGTGTTTTTCATGACCGGGTCTGTCTGACTAGAACAGACCTGTGCACGTGCAAAAGATAGACCTCATAACGGAATTTCTTTTGTTAAAACAGGTCTATCCTAAAAATATAGACCTGTCACAAACAATAGAGGAGGTGTGTAATATATGTTTATAGCACAAATGACGTCACGTCAAAGTGTTATTACACTAGTGTAATATCGTCTAGTGTAATATCGTTTTTATTAAATGGCTTTATTACATCCTGCGCCGAGGTTTATGTGATAAAACATTTTAAAGCGTAAAATAGGCACATGAACTAGCAGGAATTATTAATTTTAATCTTTGTGGAAGTTCCATAGTGAAATCA